GGAGTATCCGTAGGAGGAGGCACCTGGTGGAGGGCTATCTCAGTGCTCAGACTCCTCTCCAGGCGTCTTCCTGCCGAAGCCGGGAAGGAGCGTAACTATCCCCAGGCCGGCAAACAGTGTAGGGCCGAATTCGAACAGATCAATGCCTCAATAAGGCTCGCTCAGCGAGCCGTACGGCAGCACTGAGATAAGTGGAGGCGAATAATAGACAACTCACCTCGAAAGGAAAGGCCGGGGAGTAAACAAGGACTTCTCCATGCAGCATGGTGCAAGAAGGACTCCCGTAAGCGGTTAACAGTCTTGACAGTTAACTGAGGCTGGGTGCATCACTGTTAGCCTTTTTCGGTTAACAATTAACTAACGGAGACAGGGTGCATCACTATTAACCTTTTCGGGTTAACAGTCAACTAATCGAGACATGGTGCATCCTGCTAACTTCTTTTCTCTCCTTATTCTATTGGACCAAGAAGTCTTGGCAGGAAGACCCCAAGGGCCCAGTCCGCGACGGGCTTGAAACCCCTCGTGACGCCGATGATTCCGGAGTCTGTTAACACGGAGGAAGCGAGGAAGGAACGCTTCGCTTCATTTACTGGCCAATCCTCCAGAGTTTCTCGAGGAGGGATTGCCAGTGGTCGACGGCCTTTTCCCACGTGCGATGCGAGCTCGCAGTTTCCTCGCGCTTCGCTTCTTCCTGGGGTGATGGATCCACCACAGACAGGTATTTTTGAGTTGGTTGGTCTGATAGCGGAGTGCCAAAATATTGGGTAGTTGGCTCTAACACCCTGTTCCTTACACATTCACAACACTCTGTCAGAATCTTATCAATCGAGCCCTCTGTTCAGTGCTTTCAAACTGCATTAAATCCGGTTCTGTTCTTCGTGATCACTGTGCCTTGTGACTGTTGCTAGTTCAACAGATCCACTTCATAGACCTCGGCCTGAGAGCCGTGGTCGGGGATTATTCAACAAGTACCTCATGGAATCTAACGTGAATACGGCATACGACAGCGAGATTCGACTTCGATATTTTGCTGGTGAAGACCTTAGCTTCGATGAACAGTGCCTCGCAGGTTCTGTAAGGCTAAGCTTGTCCACCCGTTGCCATTGAACACTTCGATCGTTGGACGATAACCACTGACAGCGCGGATGCGAATCGGTCATGGGACCGTAGGATAACTAAGATCCCCCATGGGGTTCCGTGGCCCATCAGGCTCTCAGTCAACGGCTTCATCTGCCGCTGGGCTCCACTGCGTAGAAACTGTGCAAGTCCCACCTTCCCCCCCCCACCCAAAGTATTCCCCAAGTTTCCGTCTGTCCTCCGTACCTGGTAGTAACAGAGCGTTTGACGACTCGAGAAACATCCAACGTCGAAGAAGGTCTCGCAGTACGAGATACCCATGTCCTTAGTGTGGCGCTCCTCGCAAGGGGTGCCTGGTTTAAACCGCCTCACTCCACTCCAAGAGGAAAAAGAGAGGTGCGCTTGGTTGAAGGTGATCTCATGTCAGGGGTAGCGACGGCACGCCCGACTTGGCGCTCGACAATGAAATAAGCGTTCATGTTGGCGATGAACAACAAAAAGGGGCAATCGTACCCCGATGAAGCACCATCCAAACACTATCCTCGGCCAACATTGAACATACTTGGAGCCCTGAACTTCCAGTCGCCACCTGCCAATCCTGAGTCCACGATCAGCGTTTGCCATGGGCTACTCTTGCCGGTAGTGGTGGGTCTGCGAGGCGCGTCCGCTTACTCTGGGCGGTGTCTTCCTCGGGCCCAGCGGGTCTCTTATGGCCGTTGGAATTGCTGGCGGGACCGAAACCGAATGGTAACGTTATCTGACGTCGTCTCTTCTTGCTCTTGGAGGGAGCGATAATGTGTGTTTCGGGAATAGTTGGCGCGAGCTCGGATGGGTGGACATTCTGTGCTGCTACTGCTGATGGTCCCTGCTTGCAATCGCCGACGCCAGCCCAGCCCGCTCTGGTATCCGCAGCAGTAACCATGCTAGGGAGGTGCAGGAACTCGTGCCACCGGCTCTGCAACGGGCGGATGGCCAGTCTGCCAAGCGAAAGAAACATTGCGATCCGCAGCGTCTGTACGGTCATCGAACCGGTTGAACGGTTTGACGACTTCGCGGACATGCTTTTCCGAGAGGCCGACGGATAGTTGTCGGAGTATCTGCAGCGTGATGCCTTTCCTCCAGGCCCGCGCGGTGAATCGTATGATCACGTTGGTGAGACGCTCCGTGGCCCATGGTTTGCTGTCGTCGGATACTTGCGCGCGGAAAAGATACGTGGAGCAAGCCCGCAAGTCGGGCCTTTGCTCCCGCATCAGCATATCGACGACGGGGCGAATGTAGACGAGGTATTTGAAGAGGAGATGGCCCGGCTGAACAGGAAGGAATCGAGCGACATAGAACTCCCTGTTGGTGGATCGCTTAGCCTTGTGGCTCCGCGTCAGGTACATCATCCTTCCGTCATAGACGAAGATGCCACATTCAGCCGACTTAGAGTTCTGGCACCGTAGGTGAGGAGGTCTGGTGCCCGCGGCTGGCCACCGCCCGTCACCAGCATCAGCAGTGCGATGACCTCGCGAAATGCCGTTTCCTTCCGCATGTACTTCAACACTTCGTTCCAGTTCCATCTGCCATTCTTCGAGAGGCGGTTCAACTGGCTTGTGCAGTGTCACGGGTCGTGACAGTGCGAGGTTCATGTGCGCAACTCCTGGTTCGACTCAGGCCGTGCTAGTGGAGGGCAGGGTGCTGCTGCTGCAACAACAGGGGAAAGTGTGAAGAGGATAGGGCAGCTCCCTGCCCAATCAGGGCCAGACTGTCTCGCGTGCCCTGAGGCAGGGGTCTTGCCCCACATCTGTGTTCTTTTGAGTCCTTGTGGATCCATGGAGGGTTATAAAAGTGCTCAGAAGCCTAGGAAGGTCTTAATATAACTAGTGGCGTAGCCAGTGCTCCTTCCAACAACAACCCCGCTTGACTCAGAAGCAGGCTTACCTGTATATATTATGTAGGC